GCCCTTTGTTCGAGTAGGGAATTTATTTTCCATCCCCGATGGGGAGTATGCCAAGCATTTTTTCTTTAAGGTCTGGTTTATGGATTTATCAGAGGAAGATTAATAATTGGCCACTTTGAGTACCCGACTGAAACGGACATAATAAAAAAAACTTGAAAAAAGAGGAAATGGTACATCATAGACAAGCCTGCCAGTAGTTGGTTATAAATATAAATACTTTATCTAAAAGACATTCAAAATTAGGCACTAAACAAACTAAACAAGACACAATAATTTCTTTAAAAAATTAATACTGTGTATAATATTCTCTGTTAGCTAAATGTGTGCGTCTGTTAGGCATACTGTTAATACGGTTGACACTAATTTCATAAGGAATTTCACTCCATAGATGTTGCAATGCCGCACTCAGTTGTTGTAGGTCAACTGGTTGCGGGTGGTGATCGAAAACCCTTTTCTGCAACGCATCCCACATGGGCAATGGATTGAGATCTGAAGAAAATGGTAGAAGGGAAGATGGGAAATTCCCAGGTTTTCTAAACATTGATGAACAATTCTGCCTCTATGAGGTCTGGCATTGTCATCCAGAAATCGAAAATCCCTGCCAATGAGATTCCTGGTTTATGGAATGTATACCACGATAATTTTGTGGACATAACGGACTGAGGTTGCCTTATACTAATACGGAGTCTAGTTGTCCTACAGTGTAAATCCCAGCCCAGGCCATAATACCGCCTTCTCCAGACTGAACTTAAGGGAGCACGAACTGGGCCATTGTACTCACCGGCCATTCTCGGTAGATTCTTGGGCGCCTGCTATCACTACTCAGAGAGAAACGCGACTTATCAGAAAATATAATAGCATTCCAATTGGTGTCTTCTAGGCTCTCGCAGTACCATATTGTTCTAAGATGCTGGTGCTGACATGTTGTTGCAGGTCGTCTTAAAGGGGCATACGATGTGAAGCCAATTTCCCCAAACGATTACGATTCGTTTGTTTTCATTGCGTCGTAATGTTCTGACATCCACTACCAGGCCTCCTATTAGCACTTCCAGTCCTCTCGGAATCGGGATATCCACTTGCCCGTGACCTCGATGTCTCATTGTCACAATAATAATAACAACTGCTGGTTCAAGATGATGCTTTTTCAAGGTTAAAGAGAATACAACTGGATTAAAATGAAAAAAGTGTCTCTTTACAGAATGAGCACGCTTCATGTTTACAACTCTTTTACAGTCTTTTACATCTTCATAATTACTATTTTTATGTAAATCCGTTATTAAAAATGAAAAACTAATAAGTAAAACTAATAATCTGGTTTGAAATAACTAGTCCCTGGTCGAAGAACGGAAACCTGGCAGCCATCAAGCTATCGTTCTACGGGATAAAGTGGTCCATAGTTTGAGCGGATGCCCGACTTCAAGAACGAACTATGTCGTGAATAATATTGAAACGAAAGAGATATTCCACCATTTCCCCATGTCCGTCAGCCTGTAGTCCATTTGCAGGTGGCTCATTCGAAAGCGAAATTAGACAGATGGAATGAACTCCCTGGTCAGTCGTCCGTGGATTGAATTAATATTTCTTCCCATTTAGTCATCTGCGATTAATCAGCCACCTTTTAACTGCAAATAAAGTAACCTTTGAATAAGTTCCCTTTGCGAGTGTGTGTGTGTGTGTGTGTGTGTGTGCGTGTGCGTGCGTGTGCGTGTGTGTGTCTGTGTGTGTGTGTGTGTGTGTGTGTGTGTGTGTGTGTGTGTCTGTGTGTGTGTGTCTGTGTGTGTGTGTGTGTGTGTGTGTTCACGTACAGTTTATTGTATCAGGGCCCATCGCCACGTGAGGGACATATTTACTGAAGAAGACGCTACATGCCCGACGTCACCTTCTATGAGGTCCAGATGTAAAAGAAAAAACGCAACATCAGGCAAAATGTTAAGTAGAACCGTGTATTTACCGGCAAACAATAAATATACAAAAATGATTACAAATAAAGCAGTAGAATAAATATTCTATATTGAGGCTTGTTGAAATAAACGGAGGGTGTAAAATGAAAGAAGGGGTATTTCATCTGGCGCAGTAAATAATGTTTATTGAAAAGATGGCTTAGATTTGGTCGTTAAAAATATGAAATAAATTTATTATTTAACAGTTTTTTTATCTAAAAAGCGATGCTCTCATTATCTAGAGATCTTGCAGCTCTATTGTATCAAGCCAATTCCACCACTTTCTTTCAGACTCTCTGAGGGTCCAAATTCTATGATTCTGCATAGTTCTAAACGTGAAAAAGTCCAAACAGTGCAATGCACTTGGTAGTGGCTGCAGGTTCAAATTATTTATTCCTTTAGGCTAGCAGATCGGTTTAAATGATAGACAATTGTTTGCTGATAAACTATCTCGGAATGTTGCAAAACCGAGAAAATCTAAGGGGAATCCTAGAATGGTCGGAATCCCTGCAAAGTCTGTATCCCCCGGTTAACTCAAGAGGAAGCAGGCAGACCCTCGTCACTAGTCAATAATAGCTAATTATTTGCCGACCCACGTCTCCTAACGCCAAACTTCGACCTCTGGACCAGTAATTTCAAGGGTGGCTTCTCTAAGGGAAGGGGTAGTGTTTTTGACAAGGATTCAGATTGTTTAGAACATTTTGCGACACCCGGTTGGTTCAGCCTCGACTTGCGACTTTATTGAATTAGAGACTATTATTATTCGTCCGCACGGTGACAACCGGTTCAAGAATAATGTACAGCTCTAGGGAATCGTTGGTTCATGAAGGATTTATAACGTTATTTATGCATTCCCCTTGTGAGATAACATTTCACGGCTCAGCGCACGCTCTGTCCGAATTTCCAGTTCTCTTGAAATCAACCTACACAGCGAGTCGGACGTCTGAGAAACAAAATAATTTCAACAAAAACATTTAAAGCGTTATGTTTCTTAATAGTAATACTGCTGCTTAAAATTCAAAACATAAAATAACCAAGAAGTAATTTGTTTTAAAGGCGTTGTATATATCTGTGTGGATGCATGTATTTGAAAACAGTGTTAACTGTTATATTAAATAAATTTGAAATATACGAGAGAAAATAGCTAATTATTACGAGGCCATTGGCTTCAAAACGGGTCCAATCCATTACCAAAATTTTTACTGGAGACAAAATAAACGTTTTAGAGCTATGCATTATGAATAGGAGTTTTTATTGGGCAGAAGGAAGGTATTCAAACATTTAAGATAATTTTCAATATTGTATTATTTCCAGGATGCCAAACATTCAAATTTAAATTGTGGACTGTCCCGGTTATGAGACGGGTGGTATAATGTGGTTGAAGATCGAGGCCCGGAAAAGGGCACTTCATGTCCTCATCCACGTCCCTCTCTCACTCCAGGTTCCTTCATTCTTTCCTGTGACCCCTCTCAACCTTGGTTACAAGGGGGGTGACCGGGCGAAAAATAAAGGTGTAGCCCTGAGGGCGTGGCAACCTCTCTAAAGCATAAGCTGTACTCGTGCCGGCCTGGGGTCGGCATGGGGCGGCGAGTGCCTTATCAGAGGCACACGAGCGTTAGGGTACCAGATCCTGCCTTCATAGACGAGGGAGGGTGCATAACCACCTGTACTACGGGGTAACAGAAATGTTCCAAGATTCAGCCTCTATTACAATAGGAATAGATCCGTAGTTGGCCGTGGCGAGACCCCTGGCGGGTACTTAGAGAAGTGGATGTCTTCCATCTGTGACCTTCGCACGAAACTTGCGTATGACCACCGTTATACCACCGGTGCGTATGACGCTTCACGGGATACGGCGGATCGGACGGCAGCGTATAAACGTTGAGGACGCTATGATTATGCTGAAAAATCCATCGAATGCGTAAGTAGTGGCGGACGGGAACGGTTAGTGAATCGGTTGCTCCTACTCGAATATGCTTTGCACGTAGGTGTAGGCTGAGCTCGATCGGAGGCTATTACCGTAGGCGGTCTCCTCTAGGGGGTGGTTAGCAATTCCACTTTAAACAAAACCGCTGCCGGAGCGTAGCGAGATTCTACGCTGGGGAAGCCCCAATACTCTGGGAGGTAGAGGGGCCTTCTCTACCCAGGGAGTGCGCGGGAGACCAGGCTGATGTATTTCGGTTTAGGTAGCCCTTTGCGCGCGGCATACGGTCTGCGGACCGGACCCCTCTGAATGGGCAAGCGGAGAGCGAGGTTGTCTTGGCGCCTCGGGGCTGAGCTGCCTCTACACCAACGCTGCGGCAGTAACACACTTCTGTCGTATGCGGAGGTGCGTCAGCTCTCAGCTTGAGATTCAAAACGTCCGATAAGGCCGAATAGGCTAGGTGCGGACGTTAAAGATCCACATTGTTTTTTTTAGGACGACCGAGTATACGGAAGAAATGTCCCGGCTATGAATCAAGCTAAGTCGCTAACCAATCATTTTGGTGGAATAAGTTGAAATAACTCTCAATTTGTGGTCCAAGTCCCACTTATTTTCGTGAAACTAAATTCAATAATAACAAACCAATATTCGGATTTCTTAGGTAGGAAAAACAAGTAATGTTAAAAAACCACCTATTGGTTTAAACCAATGAGATTGGCCGCATTTTTATGCTAGATTGAGTCGCGTTTATTCAAATTATCTTTACTGAGTATGAAAACTAAAACAATTGTTTTGCAAATACGTGGATGAGTCGGTTTTGAAACTAATAGCCTCTTGTGGAATAGTAGTTGCGAAATCACGTCATACACGGAAACTATGCCTAACGCAAAGAATATGCGGCGCCAGATTTAATTGTTCATTCTACGTTAGAAACCGATACGGTATGAAAGGGCAAAAACATCCTGGAAAGGCAGGACATGATGATCGGAAACGACTCAGTACAGTTCATAATCACGCAAATCTCAGGGAGAAATTTCACCTTGTTTTAATTTTTGATGGACTCATCGTCTGAATGGTAGCAATGTTTTACCACCGATTGTCCTAATAAATATGCTAAACAGAACTAGTATTGAATAAACATCTGTTTTTAACATATTTTGGATAGCATGGATAAAATATTCACAAAAGTTCTTATTTGTATTTGGCTAATTGTTATCTCGTTTACTACAATTCAATCCGCTAGCGATCAAGATCTGTGCAACTTGTGTGCTAAGGATGGAAAAAGTTACTACGATCATATATACTGCATGTTTCCAGTAAGTCTGCAATGGAACTAGATTTGGTGTTGTAATAGTGTGATAATCGATCCTTATAGAATCCAGGACCCGCAAGTAAAAAAGGATGCAGAAATGTAGATATCTCTACGATAACAGACAGTTTCAGGCAGAAAGTTCTTCATTGGCACAACGATTATCGGAACAAATTCGCAGAGGGAACATGGCCCGAACAAAGCGGGAAGAACTTTCCAAAAGCGGCCAACATGAGATACTTGGTGAGTATTGACAACAGTCGTTTAACTAAACAATTTTTATAGCGTGATTTTATGTGTTAAACAGCATTATGACTACCAACTAGAAAAACTCGCTAGGAGAAATGTGCAAAATTGTTACTACAATCATGAACCTTGCAGACGAGTAGGTAAGGACAATACTATTTACTATATTTGTATCTGGTTTTTACCTATCTTTCCAAATATTGACTGTTATGGCCGAGTAGATACGGCGTTTTACGTACCTCACAGACTTTGAAGTGGGATATAATTTGTACCGTCGCAGTGCTCCTGGAATTTCAAACCGCACCCTCCCTTCAAAATTTCATTCCACACTACAAAACATAATAAGGTAGACACTCTGCAAAAAAATAAAATTGTTTTTCCGCTTCCAAAATTTTCCTTTCAAAAAAATTTCATTAGCAAAAACGTTGCAATTTCTTAAATGCGTTTTCTTACTACAACTATTTTTAATGATGGTCCGGGTTTTTAAGAAGGTATTTCAACTGCGAGGTTATATGAGCCCTCGGAATGCCAGTGTTTTGGAAAAAAGCCCATCTGTAAGTATGTCGGGTTGGAATGCAACGCCACTGGGTTCGAACCTGTGGCCTTTACCTTACAGTGATGAGGATGTCAAGGCCTAAACTGTTCTGGCCACCGACGGGCCTGTACGATTTATGATATGTTTTTATAAATAATATATCGGTAATATTGTTATTTTCAGGACGTTTTGCATATGGACAAAATTTAGGTTACGAGTCACATTCAGATAAAAACAACCTTCCCCCAGACTCTGAATCAACATGGAATGCTTGGGTTAATGAAATGAAAGATTTCGATGTCAAAGACGTAGCTGAATTCGGAAATGGGTAAGAATTTCCTCTTAAACGGTGGCTACACAATTTGAATGAATTGAAAATATTAAGATGGCTTCGTTATAGAAATTTAGAGGATGCACTTCTTGTTTTTCTACTTTTGGAGGTTTCCAGTGATTTAGAAATTTCCTACTTTACTGCGACGTAACTAGATGTCTCGTAGATTTTTTTTAAAATTTATTTCTTACTCATACATGATAGTATACTATACAAATATGTACATATGATTAAAATATCACAAAGGACAACACTAGCACTAATGCCAGCACTAGGCCGATAGAACACATGCTTTGAGGAGCCAGCCATTGGTGGCACTCAGTGTGTATGATTAGGGGTGAAGGAGGTCCCGAGGCCATCGTCGGTTGAGGCGATGTGGTGGGTTGTCAAGATGGGAATGAGTGGAGGCTCGAGCAGTATGGTTAGGATGGTTAGAAAGGTTGGTGTGGAAGTTTTGGAATCTGGACCGGATTAGATCGTTGTTAAAATTAATGTTGAAGTCTTTGTGGATAGTGAGGTTAGTGACGTAATAAGGTGGTTGACAATTTGTCTAAGGACTTTTGATTGGAAGGACTGGATGCGCTGGATTTTGGAAGGCTTGGCAGTGCCCCACAGTTCCATTCCATATGTTCATATTGGTCTTAGTAAATTCTTGCACAGCTTTGTCTTAATTCTCGAAGTCGATTTCGGTCATAAAAGTATTCGTAGTAGTCCAAGTCTTGTATTAAGTTGCTTTTTTTAAGTCTTGTGTGGGGATTCCACGTCAGTCTGCTGTTGAGATATTTGTCGAGTCCCAGACTTGAGTGGAAACTGGTATCTCTTTGTTTTTGAGGTACAATAGGGGGGCAAGACTGCTTTTTCAGCGTAAAAGTACACTGAGTGCATTATTCTTCGTTCAATCTTGTCCTTCATTTTTTACACCAGTCTTCGATAAGCTCAAGATGTTCCTGGATGTTGGAGGTAGCTTGGACATGATTCGAGATAGAGGATAGGATTGCGGTTTCGTCCGCGTAGGTAGTGATAATAGGGTCAGGATGTATTGGTAGGTCAGCAGTATAAATAATACATAGGACAGGACCAAGGATACTGCCTTGCGGTACACCGGCCTGTGTCTGTTTGACTTCCGAGAATTCTGAAACAGCGAACAGTTAGCTAGGATTTCAATAAAACGTAATAATGAGAGAGTAGGAAGCGCTTAAGTTTAAAAAGTATGCCTGGATGCCAGACCCTGTCGAAAGCCTGTGCTACATCTAAGAACGCGCCCAGGCAATACTCCTTTTTCTTTAGGGACGATGAGATGGTGTGGACTACTCTAAAACATTGTTGGAAGTGGAATGTTGAGAACGGAAACCAAATTGGTGAGAGGGAATGATTTTATAGGTGTCAAGGATTGGTATTAAGCGTTTTAAAAGGAGTCGTTCTAGGATTTTGGACATTGCAGGAAGCAGGCTAATAGGACTGGATGATGAAACTGGTTAGGGGGTTTGTGAGCTTTAGGGATGAGAATAATGACGGAATATTTCCATAGGAGAGGGAAGTGAGTGGTTCGTAGGATTGCGTTATATATTGCGATTATAAATAGCACGGCCTTGTGTCGAAGGTATCGCAGGATACTGGAGGTGATTAGGTCATGGCCAGCGGATTTTCTGCATAGATATTTGGGGATGCGATATTTTACTTGAGAAGGATGAAACGGTTTGGGGGGGTGATGGAGAGGAAGTGGTATGTGAAGTTATTACATTTCTTGTTGTGTGTGAGAGGTACCATTTACGTCTTACTGAGAAGTAAAGGTGGACTCTAAATGGGATGCAAATAAGTTTGATTTATCCTTGTCACCTCTGACCCAGGTTCTGTTCGGTGATCGGATGGGGAAATTGACAGTGTGATATTTTAATATTTTTTTGGTAGCGGACCGGAAGGAATTGTTTTGCATGTAAAGGAATTTGAGGTATTTGTGGTACTGGGAGGAGCGGTAGGAAGAGGGTTCTGTTCGGACTATCACAGTCAACTGGTTCAGCTTTCTTTTGTAGGACGGGTAACGTATTGTTGCCAACGCTTTCTAGCTAGACATATTTTTATTAAAAGAGAACGGATATGGTATGGGAGATAGTCGTTAGAGGGTAAGTTGTGTGTTCTAGGAGGGGATGAGGATTGTACAATGGCATGTTGAATGGTATTGGTGAGTATTAATACTGCATCTTCTACCTCTTGGGAGTTTATAGGAATGTTTAAATTTAAGGAGGAATTTATGTTCTCTTGGAAAACTTTCCAGTTAATTGTGCCATTCAAAAGGGATGGTTTTGTTGGTTTGGTAAGTGGAGTTACGTTTAGAGTGAGGAGTACTGGAGAGTGATCAGGAGATTTAAACACTGAATAGTGGAGGAGATGGTTCCCAAGCCGGAGGTAGCAAAGAAGTCCAATACGTCTGGGAGACGTTTGGGATCAGATGGACAATATGCGGGTTGTTTAGGAGAAATAAAGGAATAATTATTTGTTAAAATGATATTTTGGAGAAGGCGTCCACGGGAATTTGCGATTCGGCTGCCCCTTTGCGGGCCACAAACCAGCATCCGAGGGCGAAAGATGGATTTCAATTGGGGAGGATATAAGGGGTCAGACGGAGTGCAATAAACTGCTGATAATATAAGTGGTGCGGAAGAGACGGGGAAGGATATTGAGATCACTTGATGGGAGTAATTGGATGTTATGGAGTGAAGATTATGCTGTATGGATTGTCGGGCAAGAATTAATGAGCCGCCTAGAGCCCAATTTCCACTAAAGTCACACCTATATGTTGTGTATCCTGTTATGTGGGAAACATTTCTTGACTTTCAGTGATAGGTGCTACGTCTATGTGTTTGTTTTTAAGTATTGTTTCAAGTTCTTGTCTGTGCGTCAGTATTCCGTTTGAGTTCCAGAGTAGAACTGTGAGTAGTTTGGTGGGTACAGATTCATCTGGAAAGCTTGCGGAGGAGTTCAGTTACAAGGGTTGTTAGGAGGGAGATGAGAAGAGTGATCAATGATTTAAAATCATTAAGGAAGGAGGTAAGATTGATTTCTGTGTTTGAAGCTGGTGTAGTAGTTGGTATGGAGGTAGGTGCACTGCTGGCTACATGAGCATAGCTCGAGGTGCGGTCTTTGTGTTAGCCTAAAGGTGGGGACGACATAGGGGCAGGTGTAGAAATGAAGGTTTCTCTGGGTGGATTTGCTGTCATTGTTGGATCTGGTACTGTTGGATTCGTCTTTCTTCTGGAAGGTAGCAGTAGGAAGAATGTCGATGACATCGTTGAGGGTTGTGGAGCTGTTGTCGCTTTATGTTTGAGAGTCTCCTGTCTCAGCTTTCTCTAGGTTTGAAGATCCTGTGAGTGGTACATCCATTGTAATTAGCAGGGTGTGCCCCTCCACACAGTGCACACGTTGCAGGGATGTTTAGCGGCCTCGTACATTGTGTCGATTGATGTGGGTTTCCGCATCTGACGCATCTATGCGGGTGATTGCAGTATGTACGTGTATGTACCATAATCGTAGCATCTGGTGCACTGAGCAATGCTCGTGCGCATTCTAGGTTCCTCGACGTTGATTTTCGTGCATAGTAGATACTTCAGTTTAAATATTTATTAAAATTTTAATAATATAAATATTAAATTTTTTATTTCTAGTGAGAGATAAGATGCATAAAAGACGATGAATAAGGGTAAGGGTGTTTTTGAAATAGGATGCAGTACTTGTTGCAACCTAATCACTGGAAACGTGTTTTTATTAGTTCTTCCTTTATTTCTTCAGTGGAAATGGTCTGGTGTAGTCCTTTTATCTCTACTCGGTACAAATTATCTTCTTTAAGTTGATAACAATGATAGACGTAACTGTTTGTACACAAAAATTTCACTTCTTTGCGATAGCTTTAGCTGTCATATGTGTGCAGTAACAAATCATTCACACGAGATTGGCAGTAAAATTTGTCATTACCCACTAAGGCTTTTAATTGCTGACAAAATCGTGTAAAATACTTTTTAAAAGGATAGTTCCTACTCACAGTAAATTGTTTTGCAACGATCCGGATTTCGAGCCGTTTAGCTCATCATCAGGTTGAAGGACTTCTACAACCACGTCTCTCGACATGAATTGCCGAAGTGAACCGCTGATACCTCCGCCAACGCGACGTTCCAATTATCAACAGATTTTTTTAATGACGCTCAATTTGAACGTGCGAAACGCGGAAATTATAACACAAATAAATATTAGAATAATAAATACTTAATATTACTTTAAATTACTATAAAAATAATAACAATTAAAATAATTAGATTAATTATTTGGATGTTTGATGTTATTTATGTACATATTTAAAATGGGGGGTAGATCAAAATCTGTTATATTATTAATGCATTTATCACCATGTTCAATTTTACATTTTTTAATTTCAAATTTCTCAAACCAATCTAGTTCTTTCGCTTTGTTGAAACTATGTAACACTCTTGTATTTAGATTTGAATTGAAATTATGTTTTGTTTCTTTCAGATGGTCCTTAAATTCCGAAAATTTGCTCGGTTTAGGCAAGTGTTCTTTTACTCTTGTTTTTATTCCTCTACCGCTTTGTCCTATATATTTAATATCACAATCATTACAATTGAGTTGGTAAACCCCACTTTTTGCCAAATTGTCTACTTTGTCTTTAGGTTTTGAGAGGATGTTTTAAGTGAACCCGTACTTCTAAAAGCTATTCTAAAACCTTCTTGTTTAAAAATTTTACTAACTTTTTGCGATAATTCACCAATGTATGGCAAACAACGGAAACCTACTCATTCATTTGTGGTGGGGTGACTGAGTCCTATTGTTGATTCGTTTAAAGTTAATTTTTTATTCTTTTAACTAGCAACCTATCAATAAATATTTCTTGATACCCGTTGTTTTTTGCTAAGGTTTTAATATTTTTAATTCTTTTTTATAGTTATCAGGTGTTAGCGGAAGTTTTAACATCCGGTCTATGAGCCAAATGAAACCATCAGCCTTTTGGGACCAAGGGTGGAAAGAATCCGCTGGTATCATAGTGTCTGTAGTAGTGGGTTTTCTATATACGTCTATTTCTATTAGGTTGTTTATTATGAACAGTTTTAGGTCTAAAAAGTTCAAACAGCCATCTTTGCGAATTTCGAATGTAAAATTTATATTACTGTGTAGAGAATTAATTAGTTATAGGAATTCTTTGAGAGCCTCTAATGTTCCCGACCATATGCATAAAATATCGTCTAAATAGCGTTTCCAGAAATGAACATATTTAATTAATTTGTTCTTTGATTTGAAAAGATTTTTTTCGAAATTATCCATGAATATTTCAGCAGAAAGTGGGGATAATGGAGACCCCATTGGTAACCCTTTCATTTCGTATGGTAACCCAGGGTCTTTTTTAGAAGACCCGGCTGAATTTCTTTTGAACCAATGACGCTACAAAAAAAAGTCCGTATTTGATATTTTGTTATTTACTTTCAAATTTTTCCCTTGTTTGGGAGACAAATTATACATGCTACCTCACACTCAGTTTGGTGCGTTTTTTAGACTTATAGCCATAACTTTGTCATTTTTTGACCAATTTAAAATCCGATTACCCCATTGTTTTCAGGGTAACATTCCTTTAAAATGATGTGTCAGGATGTATAGGGTAGTATTTGAAATTTTTACGTTTTTATTTTATATTGAAGAACTAGGCCTGAGGTACACTATCTCAATTTTTTTTCGAAAAAAGATAAAAATTTGAAACTAGACTAAAACATATTAAAACGCGTTTTTTTTAATAGCGCTTGGTAACACACACAAATCACACTCTGATTGCTGGAAATCGAGACTCGAATAATAAATCGAAATTGTCTCGATTTCCAGCAATCATAGTCTGATTTGTGTGTTTTACCAATGGAGCTAGGTTTGATAGAGGTTATAGTAATTGTCCATATGGCATAAATATTCCAATGTTTGCACATTCCCTATCTTCGAGTTGCCTGTTTTTGTTGAGTTTTAGTCCATCAGATTAATGAGTCATATTTTAGGTTTTATTACTAACGCGTATAAAATTATCATTTTCAGTCATAAAAGATGTTGGTCGTTTCATAAGATAATGTATGTGAAGCATAACATTTAAACGTTAATATGGTCACTTGTGTTCCGTTGCAATATCCGTTTGCCACTGCTCACTAAGAAAATATTTGATCTGATTCAAGAACGAAGAAAGGAATGTAACTAAAATGATAAAAGCAAGAGTTAATTTGGGTCCATATTTATTTATTAGTTAAGTTTGCACAATAGTTAGTCTTTGAGATTTGATATGTGAGATATATTTTTTAACTTTCTAAACGAGCCATGATCACAACACTGTGCCAATAAATTTATTTAGGTTCTATTTGGTTGTAGCCTGAATGATATTTTCTTTACAGTCAACATACGGGCGTGGTCAACCATTTTGTGGCAACGACTTGGGCCGAAACCAGAGTTGTCGGTTGCGCTCAATCAATATACGAAACAGAAGGCATGTACAGAATTGAAGTTGCTTGCAACTACGGCCCCGCGGGTGTGATTGTCGGTTTGCCGATGTACTTAGCAGGAGATCCTGCTACCAAATGTCCAGAGGGGACGAAGGCCGGCTTTAACGCAACTTTTCCCAATCTCTGTGGAGGAAGTAGGTTTGATTTCTTGAACGACAGACCCAAGTGAATTTCTTTTCTGAATGGATGTTATATTAACCTTGATGTAATGCCATGTAAATGTGAACAAACCACAATAGTCTGAAAGAGTAAAATTTTTTTTATAATAATCAGAATTGAGTTAGAAATTGCCTTGGACGCTGTCGCTTACTTAATGTGTATCAGACAGTTCTTTATAATATATTAATACACACATGAGAAAAGCGTAAAAAATAGTACGTTTCCAATGCTCAAAAACAAAAATTGCAATTTATCATTATTGTACTTATTAAAACTTGTTTTCAGTTAATAACGAAGATATTCCATTCTTTGATCCAAAAGAAGCCGCCGGAACCAATGTCAGAATAAGTAAGTATCTGTGAATATCACTGTTTTGACTATACTTTTTGGACATACCATTTTTGAAAAAAAGATCTTAAGATTGACGGAAATGATGACTTAAAAAAACTTTGCATTGAGTTATTTTTTATTACCCTTTGTTGATTGATTTCCAATCCAATAAATGGCACAACAAAAACCAAATACAATGTCCATTCAGTACACCTTAAAATGTCATTATTTTGAAGGCAGAACCAATAATCAGTTTGAATATAACATTTTTTTTTCAGGCATTATTCTTAAAATACTTTTAGCGTGTTATCTCATACTTGTTCTGGATTTGCGAAATTGAAGGTCTAGCGACGCGCAAGGTGAGAAGAAATAGCCATTATATTTGCAAAAATAAAACTACTTAAAAAAAAAATTTATTTCAATTCGACGGTTTAATATATTGCTATAATTTCAATTACTGTATTGCTGGAATTATACCTTTATCATTTGTCGTGACGATTGTGTGTGGAGGTGGAAATAGTGCAGTTTCAAGAATATTTTGGTTTAATGGAACATTTAACTTTCATTTGAAATAATCGCCCTGGAAACAATAAAACAAAATTTCCCACTTTAATAAGCACCCTTTGAGGCTAAAGAAGAAAAATATAGTTTTAATGTAGCCATCTACATTGCTAAGTGCGTAAACTTTAAGAAAGTTTAAAATAATTAATTGATGTGTTTTAACCTAATATCATAACTGAGATTGTATATAAAGCAGTTTGTGATTTGTAACTTCAGAGGCCCTTGTAGGATGTAAGATACACCCAAAAACAGAAAAAAACGGGCACTCGTATTTTGTTCTTTATTTCAAACTACATGTATCTTTATCGTTGTATTAAATACATACCTACTTTAATGTCAATGAAATTAAATGAGATTAGAAATGCAGTAGTTTAATAAGAATCATTTAAATAAGATGGTTTGAATACAAATTCTGCAAAATCATTTAGCAATTGTTAAAATTTAATTAACATTTTATTACATATCTTTGGTCTTAATAAAGAGTATTCCCTCCTTTGGCTTCGGGGAGGGCCTTACGTCTCCTAGGCAGAGAGTAAATAAGCGGTCGGATTTTTTCTTGTGAAACAAAATCACATTATATAACAAGAGTGGTTTGAAACTGTTCAACGCTCGTTGGAGGAGGCAATCAATGTCTAACTGGCTTCTTTATTATGTCCAATAAAAGTTCTATAGGATTCATGTCAGAAGAACGAGCTGGCCAATTACTGTGGTAATCCCTACATCCTCCAAGACCTAGGTGACAATTCGAGTTACATGCGATAGAGAATTATCATGCCTTAAGGCGACGTTGTTCCCAATAAATGGAGAGAATGTTACCACAGCTACCTGGAGATCTACCTCAATGGACCTTAGTGCAGGCAAAGATTCATTCTGTATGATAATCAGTACGGTACTGTCATTGATCTTGAGAGATAAGTAGGCAGTACAAACAGAATTTTTTCTTACATGCTGTACTGATATCAGCCTAAATAAAAGGCCTATGTAGATCGGGACAATTGTAAAACAAGTTACTACTGAGAAGCAGTACTTAATATTGTGGGCGCTGAGGCTAAGGCGCCTATTGTCAAATACAATCAAAGACTAGAAACTTCAGCGCGAGCAATTACTATTAAAATTATTTTTATTAACTCTCCTAGTGGGTTACATTACTTTTTTATTCTATATAATCTAACTTGTTTATAAATTTGTTGAAACAAATTCATTCTATTGTTACTTACTCTTAGGATAGAGGTTGTCAACTTAAAAGTTAATGAGTAGGTAGTATAAAATCCGTATGACGTCGGTTTGTACAAAGCGTGAGAAGAATGTCGGTGTAAAACATCTGCTAATTGTTCAAATGATTTTTTTTTATGTTGTTGCATTATATTTTTTTCAAAATTCTTAACCATGTCAAAGCAAGTTGCAAAAATAACAATATTTTTGCTTGGCGCAATAATTTCTAATGTAGTTTACGGAAAAACGGATGACGAACTGTGCGACATGTGCTTAAATGATGATTTAGAAAGGGATCAACATATTTTATGCATGTTTCCCGTACGTATTGATCATCTGTTCGAATCTTCTGCAATCGTAATATTTTCTTGTTAAGTATCCTGAGCCCGCTGAACAACCTGGATGCCGGAATGTTGATATGTCAATAACGGATGATGCGTTCAGAGCGAAGATTCTCGATTGGCACAACAATTACCGGAACAAATTTGCTGAAGGATCATGGCCAGGACAAGAAGGAAAGAATTTTCCAAAAGCTGCCAATATGATGCTTTTTGTGAGTAAAATCGACTGATGTATTTTTCTATTCTACTTAATCGACGTAGTATCTGCAATCGACAGCATTACGATTACCAGCTCGAACGACTTGCGAGAAGACATGTCCAAAATTGTTACTCAGATCATGAGAAGTGTAGACTCGTAGGTTAGGAAGGAATTCCGTCGTAATATATTTGTCAAATGGCTTTTATTACGTCACATTTTATAATTTTCAGAAAGGTTTCAATACGGACAAAACCTTGGCTATCAATCATGTTCGAATCCGCAATGTGTGCCAAACGATACTTCAACTACTTGGAACAATTGGGTTGACGAAATGAAAGATTACGATCCAAGAGATGTAGAGAAATTGGGAACATAGTAATTTTTCTTTGATAATATTTCAATTTTACTTACGTTTCGGCACGGCTGAATCTTGCTCGTTTAATCTAATTAAACATAATTTTGCTATGTATATTTTATTATTCTCCAAAACCCCGCGAGTGGAGATAGATCCAGTAAGTGACACTGTGCCGATTCAACATAATTTTACGATGTTATACTTTCTAAATATTTAATTAATCTCACCGCAGCATAATAAACTCAGTTTTCCCATTTAAATGAAACGTTTAGTGTATGTTAAATTTGAAATGTTCCATTGATATTAAATGAAACAAAGCAATGGCAAGAGAGATCAAGATATTAATAGTTTTACAAGTCAAAATTGAATTATATTTTTTTCTGTTACCTACATCATAGAAAAATTGTGTGGCAAGCACACATGACACAACACAAGCAACGCAATACAATATATCACAGTACTTTAGATAACTGGTAACCTTTGAGCTATGCGCCAGTTCATTTTGGCAAAACTCAGTGTATCAATCAACAAGTTGACGTTTCAACCAACCGACTGGAAGGCTGACTAAGGAACTAAACAACCTGTACCAACCAATATTCTAGACACACGCGTATTCACAACTATTAAAACAAATGTCATAATCTTAGAGACCTGATACCTAGTCCAAAACTGACGGCGAAATGTCACTAATATTCGCCACTCATTTTATATTTATTAATTCCGACATACATGATCCATAACCACAAACCTTGTTCTGGAACAACTTGACATTTCTTTCTGTTTCTCTCCCTATCAGGAAAATCCATCACGCCTCGTGAAGTAAAAAAGGTCATCTTCACCATTCCTAGAAACTATATCCGGGCTATGATCAAATACCTTCCAATATTTTGCTTCAGCTTAATTGCAAGGCTATAGTAATAATTAATACCATTTATAACGCTGCCCAACTGGTTCCTCCCCTATGCAAATTTATTCTGCATGATCCACAACCCTAACATATCAACTAAATATGTTTCTTCGTAAAAGTCTTCAAGCTATATTCAGAAAGTACAAGAGAAAATTCAGTTTGAGTTTTTTCCAAAAATTGTACAAATTGTCTTACGTTTATCGTTTGACGAGTGGTTTTAGAGAATTTTTAGTATTTTTTAAAATATAAAGATTAGGGTCTCCTATGTTTGCTAAAACTTTTGTTAGTGAATGTGGTATTCGCTGCGTTTTTAAAAATCGGTGGAGGTTTCGGATCTTTTGTTTCGGTATTATTTGTATTTGCAGTCTCAGTGTCAGAAAATAGTTGAATGTGGTTGCTTGTAGGGTTTGGAGTACTCATAGTAGTACTAGGATACGCGGCACTTTCCTCTGGTCCCTGTTTGCAATTAAAAAAAATTAAAAAATTCCCACCCATTCACGGCGCTGCAATTATACTAACCCAACCCGACAGGTATATCTTGCCCAAACCTATAGCCTGTGCGCCGTAAAACCAGGGTCTTTCTCATTCTATCATAACTATATCTTATGGATAAAAATATTAACTCCAACCTATAAAGCTTAAGACCATTACTTTATTGTGTTAGTGTCTTTTCCAGATAGCTTAAAAAAACAAATAGCAACAAATTCTCTCTCTCTCTCTCTCCCTCTCTCTCTCTCTCTCTCTCTCTCTCTCTCTCTCTCTCTCTATCTCTATCTCTATCTATTTCTCTTTCTCTCACTCTCTCTCTCACTCTCTCTCTCTATCTCTCTCTCTCCTTCTCCCTACTTTTTAATTTTTTTGGTTTTTAGTCCAAGTTCGAGTCAAGTTTTCCATTTCGTCGCTGCGACTTGGGCTAATACTCGACTGTTGGGATGCGCACAAGGGCGTGCTGAAGTTGGGGGAAACATCAATTTCCAAATTAGTGTTGCTTGCAACTACGGCCCAATGGGCGTGTGGATGGGTGAGCCCATGTACCTTCAAGGCAAACCATGTTCTATGTGTCCGAATGGCACCGCTTGCTCCTTTGACATAAACTACCCTAATTTATGCGGAGGCGATAAGATCGCACTTGGTACCAGATAAGTACAGTTCGTAAAAACAATACATAAACTTTGACACTTTTGTTTCAGTTTTAAAAACGGATTTTCCATTTATGGATCCGACTGCAGGAAAGGAACCGCTGACGAATATGGGTTAGTTTATAGATTATTTTCAACTTATGAAAGCTTACCAGGTTGGGTAATGACCGATCTGGCAATTCTACAACTGTTCATTCAACCCTACAACGAAAAAGTATTAAAAATCATCAAAGGTTTGGTGGCTGTTAAATGATTCTATCTGTTATCTACAGGGTGTACTTTTTAGACGGTCGGGCTGAATTTTGCTTGAACCAATTGTTGAACCCATCAAAAAACAAAAAATTACGTGTTTAGTTTTTTAGAATTTTTAGTCTAGTTCTAGTTGTTACATTTTATTGGAGGAAAATTATACCGGGTACCTCAGGCCCAATTAAACTTCACAACTTTAAACACAATCATATCCCTACGGACATATCATTACAAAAGGACTTTTTTCCCCGGAAAACAATAGTGCAATCGTATTTTAAATTGGTCAAAAATGACAAAGTATGGCAAAAAGTTTGAAATAAAAAACAGTTATTTGGTTTGCTATTTATTAATTATATTTCATCTTCGAACTGCCTGCCTTGCGTAAAGATGCAATGATGTGACCTTTTTAACTTCTCTTTACCGGTCTGAGCACCATTTAGATTGTTTTCGTAGAAATAAGATTCAATTAATTTATTACCGAGAAGTCCACACCAAAATGGACTACCTGATGATGACAAGAGTACGAAATTCTCGGATTTCCTCAGCCCACATTCGAAAATTTCAACGGTTTACTATGTCATTAGAGAAAAACTTGATTCTTCAGTCCATAGGAAGTATCGAAGAACGTTTTCTTCTGCTTCCCAAATCGAATCGTCATTTGTACAAGGAACGATAGACGCCGTCATAATCAGAGTCCCGAAGCGATATGGCATAATATTGTAAATCCGGAGTACATTTTATTTTTTGGAAAACCTAAAACCCTTCCAACATTTCGACGAATGGAATTTGGATTTCTAGTAAAATATTCAGCTACTCGTCGAAATTACGCCGCCTGTTTCTTTCCCCCAATTTAAAATCCGATTTTACCATTGTTTTCAGCGTAAAAAAATCATTAAAATGATTATTCGGAAATCATAAGATGCGGGCTGTTGTGATGTAGGTTTCAGAAAAACATTTTCTTTACCATGCCAACGTTTCGATCTTTATTGAGCTTATCTTCAGGGCCTGGGAATTATGAACATTTTTTAAATTTAACAAATACATGTAGGATGTGAAAAAGTGAATTTATGGAATTCAAAAAAAAAAAATTTATATTCAATCAAACAGCAATATCTCACTGGCACTCTCAACACGACTCTCAAGAATGACACAATTACGCAGAAAACAAACAATTTGAGTGAGTAGAAATACTTTGATTGAATATAAAAATTTTTTTTTTTGCATTGTACAAATTCACTTTTTTCCACGTCCTACATGTATTTGTTAAATTTACAGAATGTTTGTGAATTCCAGGCCCTGATGATGATCTCAATAAAGATGGAAACATTGCACGACAAAGAAAATGTTTTTCTGAAACCTATATCACACCAGACCGCATCTCACGATTTCCGAATAATCATCGTCTAACGGTCACTAATCACCACATAAATCTTTAAATGTTGTATCTTGATGTCAAAGGTCGTATTATGTATAACACGTAATGTTAAAGTTGAACTGGGTCTGAGGTACCCTGTATAATTTTTCTCCAAAAAAGACAAAAATTTGAAATGTAATAAAAAATATGAAACATATATTTTTTATAGCGTTATTGGTTCGAGAGAAATTCGGCCGGGCCATCTAACAAGGGCACCCTCCATATCATACTAAGGTGCTAACCATCCAGTTAGAAAATTTTAATTCCAAAAATCACAAGCTATATTATTTCAAACAGAATTTGTAGATTGAGTTTATTTGGCATTTATGAAGATTTTAATTACGGTGTATCTTATTGAATACAACGAATTTAATAAAAATTACATCGAAACTGGTGGTGAGCTGAGATAGATCATCGTGGTCTGCGTATCCTTGCGTGTTCATCGATCAGACATGCTTTGCGATTTCCGCCATCTTCAGAGGTGTTTACGTAGTACTAAAGAATTGCCAAACTATTCGTCTATCACACTTCAGAACTCTTAACTTTTAACAAAAGTACTTTGCTGGATTTCCAAGGGGAAAATTAGAAAAAAAAAATAACGCCGACACTCACGACCTCATAGTAGTTTTGTCTTCACAACAATCACCCAGAGCCAAGAAAGAAAATGGCGAAAATTTTAAACGCGTCTGACGGAGCAACACAGCGAAGAATGGCGGACCAGTATGATTGGAAACAATCAATTTTCAGGTCTAACACCTTGTCGACCGCACAGAAAAATTTCACATTTATTGAGTTTAGAAATTTCTGGTAGTTTAGAAAATTTTTTTAGTTGAGTACGATATTCAACAACTCAATATTAGTTTCAACACAACCTATAAAACTAAAAATCAATTGTATCGAACTCCTACTTTACAATTTATCATTATTATTGTTATTTGTAATATTTATATGCATAGTGAGTAACTTTTATAACTCGTAATGAATCAAAGATTTTTGAGGTTTGGAAAACCAGAAATATAATCCTACTCCTCCACTTTTATACAAATATGTATACTTTTTTGTAGGTCATGACGAAGAAATTGAATTCCATATACCTACCAAATCAGTCTGCGGGACAGTCTGTCTATGTAAGTACTTGTGATTTAAACAATGACAATCCAGTTTTTAACAGAATTTGCAATTACGATCGGCCAATTATTCCTGTCAGTAGGTTGGTCGCAACTGGCCTTTATGGTCTTCTGCCTCTCTGCTCTTGAATACCAGACGCGTCACGTCGCGCTCACACACTCACACACACACACACACACACACATATATATATATATATATATATAGAGTCTTTACCTGGTATTGAGTAGCGGTGACCATCAGAAACATTTCTTGCCGTTAAAAACTTTCCTGGCGTAAAAAACGTGACTTAGACATATGTAAATTTTAAACTTTGGATTGATGGGTTGAAAGCCTTATCGCGAAAATCTTTCTTTTTGTTATGAGGACGGGACCGAAATATTTTTCCATCTACCATTTTTTACCCGGGTAAATTTAGACTTTTGAGAGATGAAATTATCTCTTATCTGGAGAAACAAAATTAAATTATTATCAAATTTAAAAAAAAAATGTTACCTATACATAGAGCTTATGCTCGCAATGCTTAAGAATTATATACCATTTGACCTTAGTTTTTTTAATCATTCTAAGGACTACAAAATTGTATTAAAATCGTTTTTCAATATATTTTGTTTCATTTTTACACTAGTTTAAGTTTTATAAAAAAACAGTTTCGTTTATAGTTTTATATTTATCTTTTAAATATTTTCTTTGCAAATACAGCAAAAGACAGACGGCTAACCGTAAAAGCATGTATAAATACTTTCTAGTATAGGATATGTACTATACTTATTAAAAATGTTAGGATTTTTTTTATTACTCATTTTACGTATATACTTTTCTATCGAGGTTACACTAGTTAATTCACAAGGATTCCTTTATACCTTTTGGTGAGCCTATCATCAACGTTTTGTGCAGTGAATACAACAAATTTTAAATACAAAATCTTATTGTCACAATGCCAGATCGATTATTTTTTTAATGATTAACTAATGTGCGAAAAACTTTTATAGGCGTTATTCTTAAAATACTTTTGACGATTTGTCTCATTCTCGCTCTGGATCTGCGAATTTGAAGATTGTCGAAGATACAGAACAATGATATGAAGAAATGGCCTTTTGTATTAAAAAATAATAATAAAACAACAAATAAAATACTTTCTAAAGAAAAAAACACTTAAAAATAACAAAAATAGTTTTAATAACGAGAGAACTAGTGTATCTACTTTGTACAACGTTCAATTTCCCCATTTTTCAACCAGTTTCATCAAATACCATGAACTTTTAGTGAGGCGATTAGTTTATTTAAAAATTAGCAACAGAAGCTAAAAGTGAAGTGTAATGATGCAATATTTTTAGAAATTCGAAAAACAATTTCGTTCTACTATTTTACTCTCACAACCACACGAGGGTGATGAAAATAAAATTGTGTAAGGAAATTTTGGAAACGTGCATATGGTATTCAACCATGATTAGCAACAGCATTATTAAATCAATAGTACACAGGTACAAAGTCACAATCATTCTAGGAAGTGAAATGTCGTGAAATATTTTATTTAAAAAATTATTTAGCCTGAGAGAATAATTTATTTAGAAATTTCAACCCGTCTGGTGTTTTGTATACAACTATACTTTCTTTTCACAGAAAACGTTCATATCGTATAAATCCTTTTAGTCTTCAAGTCAAGCAAGCTAAAAGACTATAAATAGACATACTTGACACCTTAAACTACCTACAAAACACATTGAACTAAAAAACTGATAACTTACAATTTAACAAAACAAATTAAAATGGAAAAGAGCGACGATCCCAAGGTCCGAATGGAACAATAAAAAAACCCCAGACCGAGTCCAACAATGACGTTGATAGACCAAGAACACCGTCACCTGATCCTGTCCTCTCACTACTGCATACAAGAAAAAATATTGAGGAACCTTCTAACGTCTATTTCTATTAGGTTGTTTATTATGGACAGTTTTAGGTCTAAAAAGTTCAAACAGCCATCTTTGCCAATTAATATACAACTAATTAATTCTCTACACCGTAATATAAATTTTACATTGGAAATTGGCAAAGGTGGCTGTTTGAACTTTTTAGACCTAAAACTGTCCATAATAAACAACCTAATAGAAATAGACGTATATAGAAAACCCACTACTACAGACACTACGATACCAGCGGATTCTTCCCATCCATGGTCCCAAAAGGCTGCTGGTTTCATTTGGCTCATAGACCGTTAAAGCATCCGCTAACACCTGATATCTATAAAAAAGAATTAAAACCTATTAAAACCTTAGCAAAAAACAATGGGTATCAAGAAATATTTATTGATAGGTTGCTAGTTAAAAGAATAAAAAATTAACTTTAAACGAATCAACAATAGGACTCAGTCACCCCACCACAAATGAATCAGTAGGTTTCCGTTGTTTGCCATACATTGGTGAATTATCGCAAAAAGTTAGTAAAATTTTTAAACAAGAAGGTTTTAGAATAGCTTTTAGAAGTACGGGTTCACTTAAAAACATCCTCTCAAAACCTAAAGACAAAGTAGACAACTTGGAAAAAAGTGGGGTTTACCAACTCAATTGTAATGATTGTGATATTAAATAAATAGGACAAAGCGGTAGAGAAATAAAAACAAGAGTAAAAGAACACTTGCCTAAATCGAGCAAATTTTCGGAATTTAAGGACCACCTAAAAGAAACATAATTAAAATTCAAATTTAAATACAAGAGTGTGACATAGTTTCAACAAAGGAAAAGAACTAGATTGGTTTGAGAAATTTGAAATTAAAAAATGTAAAATTGAACATGGTGATAAATGCATTAATAATATAACAGATTTTGATCTACTTCCCATTTTAAATATGTACATAAATAATATCAAACATCCAAATAATTAAACTAATTATTTTAATTGTTATTATTTTTATAGTAATTTATAGTAATATTAAGTATTTATTACTCTAATATTTATTTGTGTTATAATTTCCGCGTTTCGCACGTTCAAATTGAGCGTCATTAAAAAAATCAGCTGATAATAGGAACGTCGCGTTGGCGGAGGTATGAGCGGTTTCACTTTGGCAATTCATGTCGTGAGACGTGGTTGTAGAAGTCCTTCAACCTGATGATGTGCTAAAAGGCTCGAAATCCGGAACGTTGCAAAACAACTTACTGTGAGTAGGAACTATCCTTTTAAAAAGTACGAAAATTAAGGCAATATATGCAAACTGCGGAGATGATCAGCCTGCAAACTACATACCAATGCCTTTAAACACCTACACTTTGATCTTAGCCAAAAGGCCGAGAAGCGAATTTTAAACACCTACATGGGGAAAGCACAACACAGAATACAGAACGAGAACAACAAGAAAAATAGAACCTGAGTTCATCGAAACACCTCCGATTAGACTACACCAATTTTCCGTTGCTCCCTTATAAGAAAAAATGAAGCTCTACTTCATACAACATAGGTCGGAACTACAGCAAATCAACTGTCTGAGGCTACCCATACAACAAAATAAGTTGGTATGCCGCAGGGACTCCCATATTTTCGTTGCTTTGGTCCGTCAGACACCTTTCAGACTTCTTGATACCTCTTGGACCAGCACAGACCCATAGCATAGCACAGTCTAAACTCATCAGTGGAGCTCCTGGTTCTGCTCTCCTAGAGGGAGGCAGTACGGCCTGAAATGTTGAACTCAAACTTACCAAATGTTCCGAACAAGTTCAAATCTCAAGTTGATTTGGTAACTATAATGCTGTGTTCGATAGATTGAATGACCACATACCCAACAATCCCAAAACAGAGAATAATATAATTAATTACAATGAAATTTGCGACAGAGTATAATACCCCTGCTTCTTTGAAAAATCGGAACAGGAGATTCAAAGTTTTCCCACCGTACTACAGCAAAATTTTCATACGGAGTGGCACTTTTATTTCCTTTCTATTTGGACCAACACACTTCAATTGTATGGAACACATAGAACAACATTTCTCTGAAAGTTGGACAGATACGCGGGCTTTGGTCCAAAAGTAGTGTTCGTTTTTCAACCGTGTATGTTGATTCAAAGTCGGGTTAGGAGCCTCCTTGTTCTGGAATTAAGGTTATCTTGAGGTCGTCGGTTGGCGGTGAGGTTAACGCGCAAGAACTTCTCTGAATAGACTACCCTGTCTATTCACGGACTTTTCTTTGCCATATACTTTCTGTAGTTCCAGCAGTTCGGGCCGCTAAATGGAGATCTGGAGGGTTTGCCCTTTACCTTTCGCCGACTCGTCCGTGTTGATTTTAATATTTCCAAATTGTTTTAAAACCAAAAATAAACATCGAGAAGAAAAAGTCCATGGAATACTTTCACACAGTACCCTTGATTCTTACAGACTTAGACTTCTTAATTTTATTAGTGTGTTGAATTTCTGGAAAGAGAAAGTAAGTAAGTAAAGTAAATTCTCCCATAAAGGAAGGCTAAACATTCAACTAAATCCATTAGATTTCGTGGTCCGATTGACCAAATAACTTCTTTCAATTAACTAATCTTTATGTAAGGTATTGGTTGAGATAAAAAAGTTAGCGTTACGAGCGAGAATACTTTACATAAAGATTAATTATTTGAAAGAAGTTATTTGGTCAATCGGACCACTAAATCTAATAAATTTAATAAGTAAAATGAAGTATATCTTCACTAAGGCTCTCCGTGGCCATTTCCTTTGTCGCCGAGAATCGAATAGATTACACGACATTTGAAAAATGGCAAATAGGAGAGAAAATTCGAAAGGAGGGTTGAGATGGGAAGTTGGTATCCGAGTGGATCGAAGTCACGATAGCTCAAGTGGTAGAGCAGCTGCATATTTAGTCGAAGATCGTGGGTTCGAATTCCCCTCGTGACGCCGACTTTTTTGTCGCAACCAATACCTTACATATTCAACTCGCGGACGAGGGGAAAATCACTTCACAATACCTTTTAAATATTCTTCCCATTTAAATTCCGTGGGCTGTATCTGGATTCTAACTCAGAACCGCTAGCGTGGCAAAAGAGACGACTACTGGGAGGTCCCGGTTTGAAAATATAAAGTTAATTCATCATAAATCATTCAAATTAATTGTTTTTAATAATAGTAATTCTAAATTTGCTATTTCAAACATACCTAAAAGAAAGAGAAATTTGGGAAATAAGAAGGTGACTGCTGACCGACGTAGGCCTCTACATTTTATAGGCAGTCTGATTTATTTATCTTTTCCATGACTTCAAGTGTAATTAAAATGTATCACGAATATTTCGGAGCACGCGAGTCTTAAGGTATGAAAAGCAATGGACATGGCCGCTGTTATAGGAATGACCTCTGAAAACAAAATTCTAGTTTAAACTGATTTCAGTGTAAAAAAAATATTTTCAAAGATCAATTGAAAGTATTGTTTTTGAAGAGTATCAAGATAGTTTTATAATGTGATAGAATACCATTAAAATATTCATTATTGATCGCATTTTAATTAGCTATAAAAAAACAAAATGAATGTAAATATTAATTAATTAAGTTGTTACGGTTTGGATCTCTCACAATTAAATTATAATATTGTAATAAGTTCCTTATAAATGCACGTAAAAAATTAGTTTATTTTATAATTGTTTTTCTTCAAATAAGTTTAATCTACCTAGGGTATTTTTTCTTTAAAAAAAATTATAATAATAATTTTAAAAAAAGGCCGTTCATCCATGGCCTTTGACCGGGTATGACACGAGGGCTTGTTGTGTGAACTGAAAGAGCATCCTTACATTTACATACTACTTTATCCTCAAAGCTTTCCTAACAATCCTGTACTTCCAAGTAACCAAATGCACCTCTTCTTTTTCTATTTCGCCCATTTTTGCCGGCATCCCTCAGGGAAGCAGGCTTGCTCCCTTACTTTACTCTTTTTTCACAGCTGATCTTACATTGCATTTCAACCCTTAACATTCACATACGCAGATGTGGCTATAGACTCCATAGAAATTGAGCCTGTTACTTCTATCGGCAACCTCCAATCCTATCTTCATATGCATAAACCATGACTTCGACAATGGATAATTAAGGTAAATAAACAAAACTATATAAATATAGAACATAATTTTCACTCTTAATCGTAAAAATGGGGGACCGCGGTAGCCGAGTGGTTA